GGCAAGGCACTGAAGATCACTATCTAGAGAAACTGAACAATCCTAGAAACAGTCCGACAGATACTGACATTTGGCGATCCAATTAAAAAACGGGCAGGTCACCTGATAACCCTCTAGTTAACTGGCCTCTCATCCTGCTTCATGGGCACCCAGCTTCAAACAAGCATATTAAGGCTTCAAACTTGAAGATGACTGAACAGCCAAGGATCAAATCATCAAAAGGGTATTTGAGGAAACCCTCTTTAGTGGTTGAATTGTGCCCCCGCCAAAAGATATTCCATGTCATAATCCCCAAAACCTGTGAATATTACCTTATATGGCAAAATAATGTGATTAAGTTGAGGAATTTAAGGGGAGCTTATCTAGGTGGCTCTTAAATGCAGTTACATGCATCTTTATAAAATACATACACGCAGAGAAGGAGACACAGAAAAGGAGGAGGCAATGGGACCATGAATGCAAAGATCAGAGCGGTGTGGCCACAAGGGAAGGGGTGCCAGTTGCCACCAGACACTGGAAGAGGCGAAGAGCAAATTCCCCCCTAGAGTCTCCAAAAGGAGTACAGCCCTGCTGACACCTTGATTTTGAACTTCTGGCCTCCAGGACTGTGAGAGAATAAATTTGTCATGTTTTAAGATACCCAGGTTGTTGAATTTGTTACGGCAGCAGCTGATAACAGAAAATTGATACACCTTCTCTAAGAGGAAAGTTGGAGACCTAAGCAAACAAGCCGAGTAAAGAACCTCGGGAGAGAGAGAGCAGAAGAAAACCTAAAATATATAATAGGCTCAAAGAAGTAAGAGTAGGAATCTATTAAAATAAATAACAAGAACTCTTGTAAACTAAGGATATGTTGACAGAAGTTAAAAATTAACTGAAGAGTTGAAAAATAAAGTTGAAGAAATCTTTTAAAAAAGCGGGGAGGGGGTGGTGGCTGGAGATAGTCAATAGAATAGAAAAGGTAAGAAAAAATAAAATTAACTGTATTTTGACATGTGTAATGTGCAACTGTTTTGCCCAAATTTTTGAGGGAAAAATAAGGATGCACATTATACATGGGTAGTACTAATCCCATAGCCATATACATGTTTTTAATTCTTTTATTTATAGTGTATCTCTAGAAAGCAATAATGATATCCATATGCAAAATAATACCCTGGAATATGATAATTGGTTTTGTTTCTAAATATAAATAAATAAAAATTGAATTAAAAAATAAAGTGAATGATATTTTCCCTGAAAGTTTGAGCCAAAAACATGGGTGCACATTATACACAGGATCACACTATACACAGGAAAATATGGGTAAAGCCAAGAGATTCAACACCTAACTCCAGAAGAGTGACCAGATAAAAGAGCTGGAAACTATCGAAGAGATAATACAAGAAAATTTCCAAGAACTGAAATATATTAGTTTCCAAATTGAAAAACTAACACAATGGGTGAAAACAAAAAACAAAAAACCCTGCAGGTATTTTAAATGCTGGTGCAAAAATGAATCGAATGGATATAAAAAATTATTATAACATAATATAGGTAAAATAAACATCAAAAACATGTGTCCAATAGGAACCAATTCTTATAAAATATGTAATGGTAAATAAAATAGAACGATGCCTTGAAAATGTCATAAGAAAATTATTTTCAATCTTAAATTTTATATCCAGCTATAATATTGATCAAATATGAAGTAAAACAAAAATATTTTTAGACATTTAAGTCTCTAAAAATATATCTATCATATACTCTTTCATCATAAATTATTAAAGGTTGTGGTCCATTAAAATGTGGGAGTATACAAGAAAAAAGATGATATGCGATTCAGGGAGAGAACATTCGACAGAGAGAAGGGGGTAAAAGGAGCTCTGAGGGTGACAGCAAAGCAAAGTCCAAGACAGCGGCTGTGCCACAGGACTAGAAAGGGACAGGGTTGGAGCAGGAGGACACAAAAGGAATGACCTGAAATAGATGTATCAAGACATAGCAATGTGCATACACAAATAACGGAGACATATGGAAGTAAATACAAAAAGAGATATGTACAAACAAATGAAATTTTAAAACATTTCAAAACAATGTCCAGAAGAGTGGACATATTTTTTTCTAGGGGCCACAATTCATCCCACTACAAAGCTATTTAAATGAAATACTTTGAACACCTTTAGTTACTTCTTTAGTATGTATATTGAAAAAAAGTTTTAACATCTATTTTCAAAGTGACTTCCAGAAAAGTTTCCATTTCCACTTCCACAAGCAATGAATGAAAGTGCTCATTTTTCCTCACTTTTGTAAATGCTGAATATTATATTTTATTTACTCTTGGCCAAAGTGATAGACAAAACTTAATTTGCCTTTTGGATTACTAATGAGGTTTGGCATTTAAATATACATTTGCTGCTCATTTGGTCTTCATTTTTTGTAAATTGCCTGTTCATGTCCTTACAGTTTATTTCTATTAGGACATTAATTTCATCCATATGAAATAAAAGTAAAAAGATATTTATGACATTGTTTTGAACAGTCAAATACATTAAAACAACCTAAACTTTCAGCTATAGGGACTGATTCACCAAACTATCATGCCATTGAATTCCATTCAGCTCTTATAAGCGTTATTACCAAAATGCATCTACTGACATAAAAAGGTGATTACAATAAAATACACAGACTAAAAACAGTGTTCCAATAGGAGCCCATTCTTCTAAAATCTGTATGTACTAGATAATAATACAAACACATATATAGCATTTACCAGGCACTGTCCTAAATGCTTTACACATATTACAACTCCAGGAAATAGGCCCTGCTATCGCTCCTATTTTACTCAAAAGGGAACTAGAACACAGAACAATTATGAAACTCACCCAAAGTCACCCAGCAGCTAGGTAGTGGCACTGGGATTTAAATCCAGCAGTCTGGCTCCAAGCTGTGCTTTAAATTGTACAGAGGCAGCAACTCAATGTGCAGAAAAGAACCCGAAAAGTCTATATACCAAGGGAGTTGCCATATTGTTTCTGAATAGGAGGGGATCATACGTAATTTTACATTCTTTTTGTTAGTATGGGTTTCTGATTTTTCTATAATGACTTTGTAATATAATTGCAATTTAAAATTATTAAAACTGCATTTGAAAAAACAGGCCCTATCTCCTTAGTCTCTCATACAGGACCTCCTTTCAACCAGTGGGAAAAGCAGGAGACCTGGTTACCAGCCCCAGCTTTGTCGCTCAATGCGCAAAATAAGCGCTCAATGAAATTTGAAATTTATATTCACTGAAATATATATTCAATGAAATTTATATTCACTGAGCATCTACTTTGAGGTCAGACTCTATACTTGAAGCAATAAATGCTGTTACTATCGTTATTATTAGTGTTACTTGTCCATCTTTAGACGTTAGCAACCCTCTCGGGGCCCCAGGAAAGGAGATTAGCATGAAGATAACAATGGCAGCTGGGGTGGCAGATGGAATAATGAAGAATGGGGTGATCCTTCTAAAGGTTATTGTCTGTTTGTGGGGAGGCAGGGCAGAGGGGGGATGCTATCTTTTAAGAAAAGGCTCAGAAAAAGCTATAGTGATAGAGGCTTCTCCATGACATAGGATGAACTTCCCTGAAGTTACATTGTTGGAGTAGGGGGTAGAGGCGATGAAATGAGATGAGGGTGCTGAGCACGAAGTTGCTGAGCCCGTCCCTCCGCCCAACAAGGGCTGTTTCCCGAACAGCCAGTAAGCCTGAGTGTGTAAGCAGGTCAGGACGGAGAGAGGGCAAGGGGCGGGGTGTGTGGGCGGTAACTGACTGGAAGACACCACCAGGGAAGGTGTGACCAGCACTGCTGGAAGTAATTTGCTTTGTATATTTAAACTTCCCTGAGGTAATTGAGACAATAAAATAGGAGACACTGCAACATCCCATTACTCAGAATTCATCGTGCTGTTTCTTGCTCTCTCTTTCCACTCTTTCTTCCTTGTTAGACTTCATAGGTTCTGCACAATTGCCACCCTCAACACAGATAACCTGATTGCCCCTGGTCTTGACCCTGGATTCCTCATTCCCTACCTTCCCAGACTCTGTTTTCTATTCCCCTCAATTGCCGACCTAATGATGATCCAAGAGGATGTCATCATCTAAAATCCCAAACCGAGGACAAGATCTGGCCTGTGCCCGGACTTATCACAAACACCATCATCTTCAGTGAGACAATCTCTGTTGTAACCCAATGGAACCAAGTTCAAAGGTAACATTAGACCTAGGCAAAGTGGGTACCTTGAGACAGGACTCCTGTGATCATTGTAAATACATTTGACATAATCTATAGGTCTGATTATTCTATGAATTAAATATAATTATTATAATCAGATTGAAACAAACATAGTCGAATGCCAACAGTGAAACTTAATTCTGAGGGTTTTCTAACTTGTCTTCTAGAGTACCCCTCATGAGAGGTACTCTTCTCTCTCACCCACCATAAAGTGCTGGCCAGTCAAGGTCCTGCTGTCCCCAGAATCTAGGCACTCCTCCTCAAGAGACTGCATGGTGTAGTGGCAACCATGTGGCCTCTGAACTCAGAAAGCACAGGGCCCAAATCGTAGCTTTGTCACTTATCCTCCATGTGCCTTACTTTCCTGGAAGGTGGGGAAGAGTAAGTATCTCCCTGGTTGTGCTAAGGATTAGAAGTTAAATATATGAACTGGTGACTTCAGTCCCTGGATCCAATTAGGCTTCTATAAATCACAGTGACTAACCCTGGAGTCAGGAACAAAGTATAGGTACCAGGCACCCAGCTCCCCTGGTTTCATCTCATTAAGGAGTCTCTACCTCATCTCACCACCTCTCGGGAAATTTCCAAAGAAGCATCTTCTGACTTTCAAGTAAGCACAGGCCCAGCTAATTGTGTGTGCATGTCCCAGGTACAGGCCTGGCAGCCAGTCCAGGCAGGTCTCTGGGGAACCATGCTTTCCCCTGCTGCAGAGGAGAGCACTGAGCCTGTTTGCCACACACCTGGAAGAGGTTAGCAGCTTCCAGGACCCGCTGGACATTCTGCTTGGTGATCAGCGCCTTGCTGGTATAGGTATAGTCCAGGAGCGTGTGCATGGTCTCAGCATCGACCCCTTTGATAATGATCCTCTTCTCATACTTTTCCTTTAAATCATTGCAGAACATGGCCCTGGAAGAGAGACGTGAGAATGTGAGCCCTACTGTGACCCTTGATTCCAGGACTTTAAAGACCCCCTTCAGAGCTATCTGCCCCATGAAACAGTTAAATGAAGTCATAAGGAAGGGGCCGTAATCTAATAGGATTGGTGTCATTATCAGAAAAGGAAGAGAAACCAAAATTCACGCTCTGCCATGTGAGGACGCAGTGACCGTCTATAAGCCAGGAAGGGAGTTCTCACAGAAACCGACCATGCTGGCACCATGATCTTGGACTTCTAGTCTCTAAAATTATAAGAATAGGTGCCATTATCTTCTAGCCACGTCACAGAAACGAGAAGGTCCCGAAGGAGAGCCCTGATGACAGAATGTACTTCCCAAAACTGGGACTTCCATTCCAAAAAGGAGGTGATGACACCCCTAAATCCTGCTCCTCTTCCCTTTCCCATACCTCCTATTTATCTCTGGAAATCACTCATCAGTTTCAAATTACTCAACTAGCTAACTTTTGAGCCTTTTGTTTTAGCCAGTGAAATCTTCTCCCTCGAACGCCCTCTGTTCTTCTTCCTCTGTCCTTCTCAACAATAACCCTCCTACCTTTCTCTCCTCCCTCCTCTTCTCTCTCCCCTTCTTTCTTTCTCCTCACAGAATATGACAATATATATAAAAAAGAGAGAGAGAGAGAGAGGGAAAATGCGAATTCTGCAAAGTTTACAAAGTTCCCAGCCTGGATCCAGAGGAGCAGTGATATCATTTGGACATATGACCGATTTACTAGCCACTTGCTTCGGCCATAAATCCACTTGGCCGGAGGCGCACAGAGCTGTCAGCAGAACTCACACCTTTTAAAGTGATGCCACATGGGCCTCACCTTGCTGCCTCCTGATTCCACGAAGAACCCTGCCATCAAACAACCGCACAATTTCTTCCCGGGAGGAGTTGGACAAGTTCACTCCCTAAACCTCCTTTGTTTGAGTTTCTAGGACAGCGTTACTCAATAGAAACATAATGAGAACCATATGTGGCATTTTAAATTTTCTTGTGATTTTCTTTTTAAAAAAATAGAAAAAGATAAAATTAATGGTATATCTTCTATTTAACCTAATACATCTCAAACATCATTTCAACATGCAATAAATATTTTAAAGTATTAATGAGATAATTTACATTCTCTTTTTTCATACTAAGTCTTCAAACTCCTTCGTGTATATTTTATACTTAAAACACATCTCAATTCCAACCCACCAAAATAAAATGCTTAGCAGTCACATGTGGCTAATGGCTACTGTATTAGACAGTGCAGCTCTAGAGCATCTGTCCTGAACACTCGTGTTGGGCCACCCAGATCTGCAATCATCTCAGGGGGTGAATTGAATGCCACCCACATCAATGTCATGTGCGTGAATATGTGAGAGGAGGACGTTCGGCAGGAAGGGGTGGGCAGTGATGATGAGGTCAAATGAAGCTTCTGCTAACTGAGGCCGCATAGCACCAGAGTCCCACCAAGGTCAAGCTGAGAAATGCTACTACTGCACCTGGAGTGAGACTTCAAGATTAGTGAAAGGTGAATTTTGTTGAATGCGTATAATCTCAAAAATTCCAGTGAAAACTGAAAAAGTCTAATGGAGAGATGTTTTAATATCAAATGAGATAAGTGTGTAAGCCCTAATTCAGGGCCTTGCACTTCTAAGGGCTCTCAAAGGAAACCTATGTATTTCCCATGTGACACAATTACGTGGCCGTCTAGACTCTTGATTGGACACTCAAACGCAGATTCTGAATTCTCTCTTTGAATCACTCACTGAATCACACCCTGCCCCAGCTTGGCCCATACCTGACTGGGTGTCTGCATTCTCCAGAAGCCCACTTTTGTGAGCTAGGGCTGTTTTAGGCGTGTAGGGGAAGTAGGATGAGGGAGGGGCGGAGATCAAGCAAGACAAAAGTTGTACAGAAAGTCACTTTAGTTAGATCCTGCAGGGAACCGCTGCAGAATAACCTCCAGAGTTGTTCCAACAAGAGACATAAAAGCTGGGCAGTGATATTCTAACACCTGCTGACAGTTTTCATTGTGGGCTGCCCCAGGAGAAAGTAAATTCTCAGCACTTCTGGCTTTCAGTGTGTGAGTGTGCATGTGCCCAAGCAAAGGGGCTCTGGGAGCCTCGGGGAGGGTGGAGAGACAACTGCAGTACTGGCTTTTAGCAGGTGGAGAGAGAGCTGTGGTCTGGTCTAGCTCTGATGCTAACTTAGTACGTGACTTTGTACAAGTGAGCAAACCTCAGTTTCCTCCTCTGTGACATGGTTTAATAATAGCCCCTACCCCAAAGAATTGTTGTACACAAAGTAATGAACACTCACTAAGGGGAGGCATTTCTGGCCAGATGAGAGGATTCTTGGCTGGCTGGTGGGAGATTCTTGGAATAGGTGGGCCAATCACATTCTGGTTGCAACTCTTGACCCCCAAGTCCAGACCAGTAAATGGGTGCCAGTCACTGCACTGCTGTCCACCACCCATCCAGAGCAGAGTCAGGGTCAGGCTGCACACAAACTGGTCTAGAGACATTAGCAGGGTGCCTGGCACATAGGAACTCAATACATGCTCCCGGGAGAGAGTGGGAGCAAGTGCCCTAACTATAGTCCCTCTCTGGAGCTCTTGTGCCTGCTTTGGCTCCCAAAGAGCATTTCTCAGCTCTCCTCTGAGACTTTTTCTCCGACTTTCTGCCACTTAAAGACACTCTCCTGGGCCATAACCGCCATGCCAGTCATAGAAAAGGTGAAACTAAGGAGAAATCTATGTATTTCTCATAGGCCAGAGTTTGAAGCTTCTGATTCTCCCCCTGGAGATCCATGGAAACACTTTGGCAAAGTTGAGCCGCCATGAAATGTACACAACCGGGGCAAGGTGGGCACCCCCGCATTTCACTTTAATAACTAATCTTTTACATTTATGTTTATAGTACTTCATAGGGAAAAAACATTATCTTCTTTGAATATTACACCCTTCTCACAGGTGACAGACTGAGGTAGAAGTTAAATGAGTTGCCCAAGACCATACAGGCCGTCAGCAATAAAATGGGGACCAAGCCTAGGACTTTGGGCTCTTAGTCTAAAGCTCAACAGGGCACGAAACCAAGAAAATCAGCACAGGTTCAAGATCATGTTTAGGGGGTCAACTGAATGTTAGCACTGAGTGAACCAGACCAAGCTTTGCTCTCTGGAAATAGAGCTGGGTTAGTTGCTAACCATTTGCCCCTTAGCTTATACAAGAGAAAAATGAACATTTTGTGCAATAAAAAAATACTTTCTAGCCAGACACTGACCTATTGTCATGAGACTCTTATGAAACAGAGGTAGCTATTAAAATCCTCATTTTACAGTAGAAACAGTCTCACAGCAGGGAGCCAGTTGCCCGATTCTTCAGCAGTGAGTCAACTTGGACCCCAGATAGAGCTTGGGCATGTGAGCTTATCCCCCACAACTGCCATGAAGACATCCATCAGCCTGGGCCACATGCCCCTCTGAGCTCTGCAGGCCTCAGCCCTCATTCCATCCAGGTCTCTTCTCACATGTCACCTCCTCAGAGCAGCCCTCACTGATGCTGCCCCCAATCCAAATGGTCACTCCTTAACATCTTTATCTCCTTTATTTTTTTCACAATCCTGTCATACCTTGAAATTATATTATGCATCTGTTTGTTAACCAGTTCAATGACTGTCTCCCCACTAGAATGTGAGCTGAGTGAGGACCTGGGTGCTGAGTTCACCACTGTATCCCCGGCACTAGAACAGTGCCTGTAACCCAGTAGGGATTCAGGAAATACTGGGGGGAAAATGAATAAGTGAATATGATTGAATGAACGAATGAATGAATGAACTTATCTTTCCAAGCCCCGGGTGCTTGTTATGGATAGGAATCTGCATCGCCAAAAATTAGCAGACACCCTATGAAGGATGAGACTGAGGAGGCCTGCCTGAGGACCCTGCATCTGCATAGAGATCTTGCATCACACCCTCACGTCCAAGGGCTGGACCTTGAAGAAGACACACCCACACCGGAACATTCCACTTACCACTTTGATGAGTTCTACATGCTCCTGCTGCTCCTAAATGTCACCAGTTCAGAATTTTTCATCCAGCCCAAATGGCCTGTGGCTCGCCCCTCCCCAGACCTACACGCCTGCCTCTGAAGTCTCTGACTCTTGTACCCCTGACCCCATCACAGCCCTAAAAACCAACATCCACCTCCACCACCCCCATTATCTCCTTCCTAGGTTGGCTCCACCAGCGTCACTTCTTGCTTTGTTCTTCCTCCAAGCCTTCACCATCCAGAGAAACTATCTCCTCTGCATCAGTGGATATTCTGGGTGGGAGCGGCTGTAACATTGGTTGCAAACTGAGTTAAGTTCTCCTTAAGAATATAAGTGTCCTTATATATACAATTGGTTTAAAAGTTTTTAATTAATTAATGTGCTGCTCAATGAACACTATTGTTAAGAAAGGATTGTTGGATATAGACCTAATATGGCCAATCAACGTGGCAAAGAAATCAAGGAGTCAGCAGGTACAAGGGGACCGAGAATGGAATGACATCACTATGATCTCCAGCACCTCTAAGTTGAAAGCTGGGACCATGAATTTTATCCATTTCACCAAGCCCCCACTTATAATTTGCTTGCAAACCAAAGTTTAAGAACCATTGCTCTCGAGAGAGGTCACCTCACTTCCCAACACAGGGACCACTTGGTTCACCCTGAGAATGAGGGCATTAGACAAAGGTCCAGGTCAGAAAAACAACTGACCATGGACAAGCATGCCCTCGAAAGCCTTACCCACCTCTGGGTTTTTCCTTTTATCTTCTGAGATTCACTCCTCCTAGAATTTCACGAGGCCTAAGGCTGCTTCCCAAATTACGGGGTGGGAGTGGATAGGAGCTCAGAAGGAAGCAGACCTTGTGCTGGATTCTTAAGCCTTTCTCTAACTTCTCTGCGTAGACAGGAAGCCCTGCAGCTTGTATTCA